GATCTTTCGATTTAGATCCTTCCCCCAATAATGTGGTTCAATTTTCCTTTTCCTTTCAAGAAAGTTCGAATAAGTTGAGACCATTTTAAATAATTTTTCCCATCCAATCTATAACTAGGATGGATTTATTGTAGGTCTCCTGTGGAAGATTTATTAGTTTCTTCCATGATAGTTTCTTTGGAAGCTTTGGTGGAATCCGTTGACTTTGATTAGAGAAAAGTTAAACAAATAACCTGAGAGCTGGATAAACCTGCTGAACCGGACCAAATCAAGTAGAACCGGACCAAAAAATGACTGAATCGAGGCTCAGCTGAACAGAAGTTAGAAATTGAACCAAGCCGAACCGGAAATCGTGAACCGAACCAACAAATGTTTAGATTTTCCTTTTAAAACCCTAGCAGCCACCCTTTACGACAACAACCCTAGCAGCCACGCGAATCAGCAAATGGTGGCAGCGGCGACGGCGGCGGCAGTGGTGGTTGGCGGCGGTACTGCAGTGGGTTAGGTACAATGAACACTTGCAAAATAGTGTTCAAAACTTCAAACCCTAATGGGTACAAAATCCTAGGAAACTTGGCTCTGATACCATGTCAATTATAAGAAAAATAATTCTCTTGTATTCTTTCAAAGGATTGATACAAGACTATAAATAATTGTCACAAAGAAGAAACTAAAACGAAATTCTTGCCAATTAGGATAAGGAAAACACTTACCTACTAGAACAAGAAAACCCTAATCTAAATACAATAGGAAAAAATAATTTAACAATACTTAATAGTAATCTTGTTTATAGCTCTGTCATCAACACACATTCGCCAAGATCCGTCTTTTTTAGGTGTAAGGAGAGCGAGTACCGCACATGGGCTAAGGTTAGGTTGTATATGGCCTTTTGTTAGAAGTTCCTCAATTTGGTCATGTAGGATTTTGTATTCAGCAGGGTCATACGATAGTGAGGGAGATGGTAATGTAGCCCCTAGAATAAGGTCAATATGGTCTTGGATATCTCGAAGTGGAGGTAAGGAATCTTGGGGTTGTTGGAGGGTTGGAAATTGTGTAAGGAGTTGATTGATTTCTGGAGGTGTCTGGGATGGGTTTAAGTGATCAGTTGTACCAAAATCTTTGATTACCAAACCCATAATAGGGGTAGGATGGTGCAACAGTAGCTGTTTAGCAGTGCACACATGAAAAAGGTTTCATTTTTCTGGATTTTTAATAGAACCAGGACTTGATAAGGGTAATAAAACCACTGTTTTTCCCATCCAAGTAAATCTTCCTTTATTTATAGCTTAAGTATCAAATTGCCAAGAACAGCCTAACAAGATGTGGCAAATATCCATGTCAAGGACGTCACATGTGATTTGATCCTTATAGCTACTACCAATGGATAGAGGAATCGTACACAAAGTATTAACAAGAGCCTCCCCTCCTTTGCGAATCCAACTAACCTTATATGGGGTAGGATGAGGAGAAACTTTGAGATTTAAAGCTATAACCAACTTACTTGAAACAACATTCTCGGTGCTCCCACTGTCGATAATGACATTGCATACCTTTCTATTGACTGTGCATCGTGTCCGAAATAAAGAATGTCTCTCTTGGACTGAATGTGCCTTGGGAGCTAAGACAATTCTTTCTAAAACACAATAAACCTATTCGCCTTCATCAGGTTCAAGGTAGGTGATTTCTTCCTCGGATTCTGGGTTGCAAGAATTATCAAGATCTTGAAAATCCTTCACAAGATTGACTGTTTTATGTTGGGACACTCATTGGATAAATGGCCGACTTGCCCGCAATGAAAACACTTTCCCAACGTAGGCCTAGTGCATGCATTGGGAGTTCGTTTTGTGGGCTGCTTGACATTCTTTTGGTCCTCATCACTCTTGCCCTTAGGATTATAAGTAGGACCTGTTGTGGCCTTCTCCACGAAAGAATATCCCTTTCTTGAAGAACTTTCCTGGTTATCAGCCAACGCTCGTCGTTGATATTGGTTTTTGAACCGATCGGCTTGTTGTTCTTAGCTGTGGCGATTGCTTCATCCAAATAGGCAATAGGTTGTAGTTGGAGTTTTTCTTTAATATCTGCTCGAAGGCCACTAACAAACCGGGCCACTTGGTATTGATCAGATTCACCAAGATTTGTTCTTGCCCCCAATCTATGGAACTCCTCGGTATAATCAGCTATAGAACGAGTACCTTGTTTGCAATTTTGATACTGATTGTATAGGATTTGCTTGAAATTGATAGGTAAAAATCTAGCTCTCATTAGTTTTTTCATCTTCTCCCAAGTATGAATAGGGGTCTTACCAAAACGTTGCCGATTTGTTTCCAGCTGTTCCCACCAAGCTGCTGCACCGCCCTTCAACTTGAGAGCCACCAACTTGAATTTTTTGTGATCCAGAGTGGACATGTATTCAAAGAAACTTTCGACATTCTTGATCCACTCAAGAAAGCCCTAAATGTCCATTTTACCATCAAACTGAGGGAGATCTACCTTCATCTTGTAATCGCTTTGTTTGCGGGGCTGATGCGGATGGTAATGTTGCTGTCGTCGGCCAACGCCCCATCGCTGGAAGTCTTCCTCGTCACTGGAAGAATCCATCTGAAAATCCTGCCCTCGTGGGAACCTACCATATTGCCTAAGAGCATGGAGATCTCTTTGCCAATCTTGACATTG